AAACCACAAAAACATTTATTTTATTTTGTCTAATCAGCTGATAGTTAATAATTCAACACTAAGCTATTTTATTGCTTTTCTCTGGCTAATCAATTGTAGCAAAGATATGCAAAGATATGCTGGTTTTCCATAACTAAAGCCTCCTAAGATTCCTTATCTCTTCCCTTCTGGCAACACAGACATATTTGAGTGAGTAGGAGATGATAAGGAGAAAAACAGAGAGGAGGGAAGCAAAAGAAAATAGGTAGATGGGTGTGGCAAAGGCTAGGGTCACATGTAAGGCCTGTGGCCAGCACTCCTAACTCATCTGTCACTGAGTGAGTTCAGTCAGGCTACAAAAACCAAGAGCTGTATTCAGTTTCAGGCTGACCATCTTCACTTGAGAAACCAAAAGTCCCAATGACATTTCAATCATCCAAACTTTGAGGATCAGCATGACACCACAAACAGAAAATTCCACATCTGACTTCAGAGTCGATGTTACAATTGAAACAGACACACATCAAACAGACAAACAAACAAACAAACGGGTCTGGGTTGTCTGTGCTCGTACACGAACACGTGACTGGGCTGCATGTGCTGTGTAGCGTGAGCTGCACAGGTCAGAGACAGGCTTTGTCCTGTCCTGTGGAACTCTACCTCATCCCCCACCCGGAAAAGGCCAGCGATGCTCCTGTCTCCACAGCCACACCAGGGGGACCGCAGGTCGAGAGCCGTGCCTGTCTTTTCTTATGTGTGTAGGTGCCAGGTCTTCCTCTTACATAGCAAGTACTCCACACACTCACCTACCTAATTTCCTAAAATATTGGATAAAATGACCTTTAGACAATACGTGTGAAATACATTTGAAACATAAATTTCACTCTTTGACTTGGATTCAGCCTATAAATGACCTCTCAGTGTATTACAAATGTTTAAAAACAATTCAACAACTCTGAAATGTAAAACTTCCTACTGGTTTATAGGTGTTGCACTCCTACTCTCTGTGAGGTAAAAAAAAAAAAGAAGAAGAAGAAGAAGAAGAAGAAGAAGAAGAAGAAGAAGAAGAACTTTTCATTTCACTTGAAGCTCTTACTTTGAAAGCAATAATTATAAACTATTGGTTCTATACTTAGCTCAAACGTAGTTGAATGTGGCCATCGTTTCCAGCTGCAGCTTTGGAAGAAAACAAACAGAAAGCAGTTCCTTCCTACTGGCATTTCCTATATATGAATAGGAAAACAGGGACACACTCCCTGAGGGCTGTACCACAGGCTTAAAAAAAATGAGACCTGCACATGTCATAACTGTCAAACAGCCTGGCTGACTTTTGACCTGATTTAGCGTTATTGGAAGCAGCTTACCGACACTGCCAGTAACATCTCACATAATAACATTCATCTTGTAACTGAAGCACGAACGATAATGAAAACACAAAGAATCCAGGAAATACATGCTTCAAGTGTAAACTGCTCAAAGAGAATAATTACTAAAGGGTCTGGAAGAAGGCCCTCATGGTGTCTCTTTTACACAGAAGTGCCACATTTGAGAAGTCTTTAATGTTTTCTTCTCACGATCTTGCTTTAAAGGTCTATAATTTTTCAGATCATCACATTTAACAAAAGTTTACCTCTCTTTCTTTCAATAAAGATTTAGACTAATATCACTGGATATGCTTAGGCCATAGAAACAGAGCATGCCTTCCAAAGATCGGATGAAAGAGACAGACAGCCTTTTAGAATAGTAGGTACCATTCTAATCTGAAGCTTGTTCTTGCCTTTCAATCTTAACAGAGAAACAATTAATAAAGGAACCCATTAAGACCTGATTATTGCAGCTAAAAAAAAAAAAAAAAGGAAGGTAGAATTTCAGTCCTTTGAAGTAACTGAGAATGATTCAGGCCTCATTACAGAGATATAATCTACATTCATACATTTATGTTAGTGATTCAAATCTATTGGGAGAGATTGGATTCCGTTAAATAGCGCATCTTTCCTGTGGAGCTTTTCTGGGGCTTTCTGGGGCTAAACTAAAGGGTGACTTAACAATACAAAGTGGTGGGGTTTAGGGATCCCACTGTGCTGTAGAAGAAAGGCAGTGCAGAGAGGGAAAGAAGAGTGAGATATGATCTAAAAAGCTATGTCAGCTTTTCCTTTGGGCAGCTTAGCAAATGCCCGCCCTGTCATCACGCTGGACCAAGGAGAGGCGAAAAGACTCCAAAACTCTCAAACATTGCACCTGCTGCAGGCGAGTGCGGTACGAAAGTTTTGAGAATGTTCTTTATACCCCGCTTTAGGTAAACTTAAAGTAACTGAAAGTAGGTAAACTTTTAGCTAGACAATCTGAAGAGCTTTGACTGAAACAGAAAGGTGATTGTGTCTGTGTGTGTTGGGGGGTGCCTGAAGGAGTGTCTGATGTGAATAAAAAATAAAACCACTCAAGTCGGCATCGATGGTGATGCTGTCCAGTGTTGAACACAAACTCACTCAACTAATTAATTCTTGTGTTTCCTATTTTTTTTACAGAAGAATCTTCATTGAATGGTTTCATCAAACATTTTTTTAATGCAGTTTCAATTAGTCGCCAATTCAAACAGTTGGACTCTTCTTTCTATGAGGACGCAACTTAAATCCCTTAGAAATTATGAACTTTCACTCATTTGTCTGCTCAGGTATAAGCTGTGAAATAGGAAATTGAAATTAACACTGTGGGCTCATTTTTTCAATATCCATGCTTTAATTAAAGAAGCAAGACTTGTTTGACGCATGCTCTTTATTTGCTTAACTTTTCAATTAATAGCTACAGAAATCAGCTAATTATATTAAAGTTAGAAATTTGCTGTGATGTTCGTCACATTGCTGAAATCTTTTGAATAAGCATTGCAGTGAGTTATAAATAATGTAATTAAAATCCTGATTCTGGTATTAAATAGTCTATTTCAAAGGCAGTGAACACACAAAAATATCAGAGCATGCATTCATTCAAGCTATTCTTCAAGTCACTAAAGTGTATTTGGGTAATTATTAACTGTTTCTATCTCTAGAACTCTTAAATTTTAATTTCCTTTCTCCTGTTCCCCAATGAAGACTAAAACTGACTGCACATGACAGGGTTTCTGGCTTGTGTGTGTAAGCTCCTTTTGTAAATTTTTTCTTACTCACTGCTGCAGTTTGTCTAATTCTGAAGTTCACCTTGAAATGTCTTGCGTCTTATGCAGCCCTTTAGGTTGAACCATGTGGAATCGCCGCTGCCCTGAATGGAAAGCTGTAAGATTTTGACTATTTTGCGTAGACAGAACACAGATGTCCAGCTGCCCCACACAGCAGAGTGATATATATTCATGCAGTCCTTTAAGCTAGTCATTCCATAGTTTAGGTGTTTAAAAGACCTGACCCTCTGGGACTCAGAACCACGTCTTCCTCAGGCAGAAATGGCTTATCACAGTATTTCCTTCTTTGTGCCTTTTGGTTCTGGGCAACAGCTTCCTGGTCTTGTGTTAACTTCTGTGTCTGGACTGAGAGCTTGTTTCTGTGAGCAGAGGCGGAGCTGGGGTTGGTGTGTGCAGGAGACTTAGTGGAGCACTGGTAGGTAGCGAAGCTGCGTGGTGAAGTAGAGCCCTGTAAACACTAACTCTGAAGGTTGGTCGGGGACCTCCTCTTTATGGTAAAGTGCAAAGGAAATTGCATAGAGAAGAAAACAGGCAGCGGGGGATTTGGTCAAATTGTGTGATAAAAATCTGTGATCGCAGGAAAGTGCACAGGCTTTGAAGTCCCTGCGCGATTCTGTAAAGGACTCATGTTAGCAATTAGAAATCAGTAACTTGGGTCCCTGATTTCATTTGCGCCAAGAGAGAGGTGATGTTTAAGGGTGACAATAAATCTCACTGAGCTTAAAAAGACAGAGAGGGCCAAAGTGTGAACTTTTTACTTCAGCGACGGAAGCGAGAAATCAATGATTCATTAAAACCCGAGACCTCCTTGGAAGCTGGCAGGAGAGGAGGAAACGAAGCTAGTTCATTATGTCTCCCTTTTCCACTTTAGCTCCTATCAGTTTATAATCTGCTCTATTTGCCCTGAGCATCCTCTCCTGGCTTCTCCCCAGCCCTCTTCCCTGCTTCTGGGACCTGGAGAGGAGAAACACACACAAACACAAAAGCCAAGCTCCAGACTCTATTTTCACAGCCAAAAGGAAAAGAAAAGAAAAAGAAAAAGAAAACTACACTGGAAAACAAGTGAGCAAGGGGCTCCCCGGAGGGGAGTGGTTCCCGCCTGAGGGCAGCAAAATTCGGAAAGCTCATGGACAGCTCGCGCTGGGGCCAGCGCTGTGAGCACAGGACGCCGGAGCAGCAATTAGCCGCAGCTGCAGGCTGCGGGGCGGCTGCGCCCGCGGAGGCGGCGAGGAAGGGACCCGCAGCCCCCAGCTCCCCCCACCCGCGGCCCCCTCCCCCCTCCCTTTTCCCTGGCGTTCCCAGCAGCTTAGGGTTTCAGATGTCCCACCGCCGTTTGACCCCCTCCCCCCCTTCTCCACCCCTGCAAATGAGGTTTGACCAGCAGAGGCAGAGCCCACCTCTGGCTGAAAAGCACTGACATTTAGACTCCAGGCTTCAACCTGTTTACAAGCGGCTTTCCACGGGACTTGGAGGTGGAGGGAAGGGCCAGCCGCCAGCCGCCCCCCAGACAAGAAGTGGCTTTCGGGAGACTTCACATCAGCAGGCACCACCAAAAGAGAAAGGAGAGAGAAGAAAACAGCAGCGCCTGGGCAGCCGCCTCCAGCTCTGACAACTCCAGAGACACACTTTTTGGAGTGGCCAGCAGGCTGGGGCTCCGCAGAGAAGGGCCAGAAGGTGCCAGCCACAGAGGGGCGCAGATGTCTCCCTGCACCCCCACCTCACCCACTTGGGGTTTTGTTCACCGTGCTGTCATCTGTTTTTCAGACATCTTTTGCATCTAACATGGTGAAGAAAGGAGTGAAGAAGAGAACAAAGTAAACCCCCCCCCCCCGGGGAAGGCGAAGAGCTCTGGTGACCGACACCACCAGTTCCTACTGCTGTGGCCACCCACGTCCACTGTTCACCCGGAGACTGGAGAGACGGACGCAGGCGTTGGACCAGAGCACGGAGCGAGGACAGGCAGCCGGCCCTTCCAAGGAGTTATGGATGTTGGTGCACCCGCTTCTGGCCAGATCCGTACCCAGAGGGAGCTAACGGATAGCCACCACCTCCAGCTGTCTGCTCGCCTCGCACCAGCTCTTACCCTTCCAGTATGTTCCTTCTGATGAGACAATTTCCAGCGCCGAGAGTTTCAGTACAATGTGGAAATGGATACTGACACATTGTGCCTCAGCCTTTCCCCACCTGCCCGGCTGCTGTTGCTGCTTCTTGTTGCTCTTCTTGGTGTCTTCCATCCCTGTCACCTGCCAAGCTCCTGGTCAGGACATGGTGTCACTGGAGGCCACCAACTCCTCTTCCTCCTCCTCTTCTTCCTCCTCCTCCTCCTCCTTCTCCTCTCCTTCCAGTGTGGGAAGGCATGTGCGGAGCTACAATCACCTCCAAGGAGATGTCCGCTGGAGAAAGCTGTTCTCCTTCACCAAGTACTTTCTCAAGATTGAAAAGAACGGCAAGGTCAGCGGTACCAAGAAGGAAAACTGTCCGTACAGTAAGTAACAAATGCGTGCTCCCCTCCTTCCAATTATCCACCCCCACCCCACGCGGGGAGTGGGGGGGCAGAATCTGTTCCAGATGTGGCCAGCTAAATATTTATGTCCCCAACCCCTGTAAAAGGATGAAGTGGAATACTTTCACACTAAATCAGCCACCCCCCCCCCCCGAGTATATGCTCTGCGCAGTCTTCCCTCCACCACGCAAGCCTCCTCCATATCTCTTGCCACCCTGTTCCTGGTCTCTAGTTTGCCACTCACGGGACCACTCCGGGTGCCCTGGAGTTGCTGCTAGGAGATGCCCCACTCTGTCTCCAATACCTTCCCCCATGGCATCCCTCCCTTCTGGAAATGGCTCAAGTAAACACATTTTGTTTCCTTTCGCTGGCAATCTTAAGAGTTTTGGGACAGACTACTCAAGCTGAAAATAATTATTCACTGTCAATTACAGGGGCTTTATGGGAACTTTAAAGAAGAAAAGTCACTTCCACTGTCTCTTTTACCCCACCACTTCTAGATAGACGCCAAAGAGTTTTTCCTGGTTTTAATTTTTTCCCCTCCGTTTGGGTCCCTCATTTTGGTTTGAGCGATTGCAGTCCGTGGAGGTGGCTTCTCGGGCAGCACCACTGCTGTTTGTCTCCTGCCTGGTTCTCTTGGTAACCTGATGCCCACGTCTGCATTGTCAACAGCATATGCGCTGCTTTGTGGTGTCTTGTTGTACTGTTTCTTCTGAAACCTCTCATATTGCAGAGGCATAGTCCTACAGCATTGTAAACATCTGGGACTGGATTCACACAGACCTCACACAAATTTCATTGTCATTCTTTTATTTTCAAAGTAAAAGCCCAAGTCTGTTTTCAGGGACGTACCCCATAGGACGAGGCTGTCCCCAGCGCACATCCAGCAGGAGATCACTGGATCTTTCTCTCCTTTTTTCCCTTTCTCTCTGGTCTTTTTCCATCCTTCTGTCTTGGGGGAGGTTGCTGGGGGGCTGAATAAGGGGAGGAAGAACAAGGAAAGAAGGGGGAGTGGATACCGTGTCTCTTCCTGAATCCTTTACTGGTTACTTTCAAGTGTGGAGACTTTTTCATCCTCTATTGATTTCTGTTTGAAAGGATCCCAAGTCTGTGCAATGACACACTGAAGACAGTAGACAATGACATTTAAACATCTTTAATGGCCACTTGGCTTTATCTCTTTGGTAAATCCCAAGTCACCCTTCAAGGGGAACTTTTGTGTTAGTTCTTTGGGAACTGGCAAGCAAACTTAAATATGTGAGTCACACATTTCAGATTTTTTTTTTTTTTTTTTTTTTAGTGTTCCAGGTCCTGATGAAAATGACAACTGATCAGAATTAAGCGTTTTATTTTCCTATAAAGATTACAGGAATTAACACTTAGTTCTCTTCCTGGAGGACTTACAAACACCCAACATTAACTTTTGCTCCTCTCCACCTGCTTTCACCCTAATGCCTTGTTAAAATTAGCAATATGCTTATAAGCAATACATTTGCAGAACCATTTGAAAGTAATCTATGTTAGGTTTAGTATTGGAAATATTAAATAATTCATTACATGCAAGTATGTGTTTCATTCTGATGCTTAGAAAGTAGCTGAAATATTATTATTATTAATGATGATTACTCTTTCTTGACAGTCTCTTGCCATATGAGTACTATAGATTCTATAGATAGCCGTTATGGTTTGAATATCCTAATTTAATATTTTTGCCTACTTCTAAAATAAAATCTGGTGGTGGTTCCCAGTTAAAGAAAGAACCAGCCTCCACTCTAGGCAGCAGTTTTTTGTTTGTTTGTTTGTTTGTTGGATTTTTTTAACCCCCATGGGCTGAATTTCTTTAGTTCATATGGAAGAAACATGAACAAATGGAATATAATTTCTAAGTTTTAACCTTGAGGTTGCGTTCCATTTTTTAATATTTTGATAATACCTGAACTTGCTGTTATTGTGTTTGTTTGTTTTTTAAATGTGGCATAATGATCAACCTACAGCTATTTTACTTTATGATGCTTAGATGACTGTTTTGTAAAATAGTGATCCCTGTGCCATGAACTACTTAGCAAAATGACTCCCATGGAACACTTTGAGTTTTATTTTTACAATATGAGCTATCCCAAATGAGAAAATTGTGCAACTTTTATTGCATAAACAAGGGCAGCAAATTTCCACACTAACATTTAAAAAAAATAGGCACTATCTCTTCTGTGGGCCGACATACGCTAATTACTAATAGCCTCTTTTGAAATTATAAGCTAAACATATAAATTAAGAAAACTATCTTAATTAATGGCTGAAAAGGGAAGGAGGGCAGTTATATTGCTAAATATTGTCAGGCCGTAACTAATTTAAGCTTTCCAAGAACATGTGTATTGAAACATAGCAAGGGAAAAGTACAGATTGAAAAGGCCTTAATTTCAGTATGGCCTGGTAATCAGAATGATGTTATCATTGCCAGCTGGTCTTATTCAGCTGAAATACATGGTGTCACTAAGAAATTGTATAAATGTTCCATAATGGCACATAAGAAACATTTGCCACACCCAAGGAGTAGCCAGTCTGTCAGCCCACCGAATAGTGGCCTGTTAAATACTAGGATATCTAATCTCGAAAGAGTGTCAGACCCTTGTCTAAAACCACATTTCAGTACGTTTCCCTAAACAAGATATTAATTGGTTTCAGTACACAAAGCTGTTCTTTTGAGGTTTGCTTATTTGAAGACTAGTTTTCTTTGTTACATTTGACCCTTGTATTATTGCTGCTAGAATACCATCACAGCTCACCTAAGGGGTTATATGTTTGTGAAGCCTTGGGCAATTAAACAGCTGTCTCACTGGCTCATCGCCAGCAAAATGCCAACAAAGGAGAAGACAGGAACTCACTCATAAGTATTGCAAAATTATTTTTAAACTTCTTCCTCCAGAGTTAACACCCTGTTTTGAATAGTTCTGGAGGTTCGACATGTGTTAAAGGAACTCTTCTCAAACAGAGATCGTTGTGGCTTTTTTCCCTTTAGAAGGAGTGTGGGGGTGTATATTTTCTTTGCTCTTTGCTGTTGTATGGCATAGAATAAAGGGAATGGGGTGAATTATGTTTCTCCTGCCAGAAGACTGAGGAAGCTTGAATAATTGAGAAGAGCTGTGCTGTATCTGTCACTAGATACGTGAAGGCTCATTTAAGTTTTGTTTTATCATTCCTTACATCGAGAGCTTTGCCCTTGAAACATTACCACTCAGCTCTAGCTCTGACCTCCTAGAAAGGCTGGATACAGCTGTTAGTAACCCTTGGAAATGAGACTGCTTGACTTATTTCTGGACATGAGTAAAACAGCTGTGAGCTTCTACCATGGTTGTCAATTGAAGAAAAGAAGAATCTAGCAAAAAGAAAATATATCCCGAAACCAGAGACAGCTAAATAGGTGTTTCAGACACAGAGCCCCAGAGGTTATGGACATTTCTGAGAAAGAGTATGAGAAAAAAGAATGTATAGCATGCAATCCATCATTTGAAATATGGATCTCACTTAATACTCAAAATAGTCACATAGCTTTGATAAAACTATACAGGTTTGAAAATTAGGATTGGAAGAAATAGGTTTTCCAATGACCCAACTAGAAGTTGACAAAAGCATAACACAAATCTCATTCTGACTGGTTATCTCTCCTTGTATGCTGTAACTACCAAGATGCTCCCAATCTCTTAAAAAACAAATCATCGAAAACTCATATTGCCTTTTGCTGTGAACACTAATAGATTTCCAACTTAATTGGAAAAAAGTAAAATGACTGTGGGGGAAGAATGAAATGTTAGAAGTAATCATTGTAGGTGGCCATGCGGTACCAGACAATGTATCATCCAGGTCAAGCCTCTCTCTTGATATTATATTTGGGAATATAATTGCTCATGGACACACACAAAGTACACACACATCAATCTCACTTATGTTAACAGAGGTCATTAGGAATACATGACTATTTAAGAAAATCCATGAATGTCATTGTATATAGTAATTGTTTACAGCTGAGGGCCAAGTGCTTAATTGTTCCCACGTGCAATAAAATTATTTGATTGTAAATAGCTATGGGAGTGTAGGCTGTTGCAGGAACTTCTAACACATGATTCTATAGAGAGTGACATTATAGAGACCTAAAGCTATGGATAGGAAAACGAATCGGTAAATTAAAAAGAAAATACCTTGCCACTTAAAAATGATGGGCTTGTGATGCTAGAAAGAGCATTAATCAGGACTGCAGTTTATCACTGAAATCAGTTCAAAAATATTTTTTGAGGAAGGAAGGAACTACTATATTGCCTCTTAGTAAATATTCATGAGTTTTCTAGTCTGTGAGGGAAATCCTATGGGCAATTCATGGCTTCCACTGGTGTCTTATTTACATTTGTGGTTCTTTCTAGAATTTACTTGCAAAATTTATAACCAGAAACATGCAGTCATCAGCACTGAGGATTTATGAAGGTGGAAAGCACTGTATTTAATGTCTACATGACACTGTTCTATTACCTTTACTGCATTCGTACCATGTGGACCCTCTACTTTGATGGCTTTATCATAAATCCATTAAAATGCACAATTTGAGAGCTTCCTCTTCATAAACTTGATTTATAACCATCTGCTGGAAGAACCCAACAAACCAGTTGGCTGGAATAGCATGCTGGTATTGGAGGAGAATTCAAGCACCAATCCCTAAGTCTTGGGAATTTCAGTAACCTGGTACCTGAAGGTACAGACCATTCTTTAAAAGCACATGTTTCCATAATGGTATTTAAACACATAATTTATGGAAAAAGAAGGCTTCTATTAAATCAAAGTCCATTGTCTGCATATTTTCTTCTACGCTTTCACTCTTCAGCTTATAACATAAACTTTTATTCTAGCGTATTTCCTTAGAAATTAAATAGTTTGCAATGAACGAGAATAAATGCTTTAAATTCCTATACAATTACCTTAATGTTCAGAGGCAAATC